AAATATAATAATATTTGAATTGTATAAGCTTCAGTACTATTTTTACTGTACCGACACTATTTATTGCATATTTTTACATTCTTCTGCCTTGTGTATAGATCCATATTTGTAAACTTATTAGAAAGAAGTTATGCTTATGTCACTCTATGATTGATAAAGTGAAAACGAGTAATTAAACCGTCATCACCCGATACTGTTTGGAGTATAAATGGTACTGAGTGATCGACCGAAGGTGTGATTGTGATAGGTATCGTGGTGATTGTGCTCAAAACTCAATTTTACGTGGTTAGAATAACTATATTCAAAGCTTTGATTCGATGTGGAAGTACATTTAACAACCATGTGCTGTGCCCCAAAGATGTCAGATGAGTCTGGAACCATCTCAAGGAAGAAATTATATTCGAACGTATACCTAAGTTCAATCTGTATCGGTAATATTCCTTGGAAATTCAATGGAAGTGCTTGTCGTTGCAATATACTCATATATTTGTTAAAAGCGCCGTGTTGTTGAGTGTTAATGGGTTTGATGACCCTATAGTTTAGTCGTTTGTTGAGCATACTATGTTGTACCATTAGTGCAATTACAGTTTTCGACAGTGAGAGAGAATTTTCTTATCGTATAAGAAACGATTAGGAGCAATCAGTTCCTTTCATCGTATGAGAACCGATTAATTGCACTCACTTGCATTTACAGTATGAGAAACGCTTTTTAGATTATTGATTAGAGCATAGATTAGATAGATCTGACCATCAGTTGCTCTTAATGTATAAGACGCGATTGGCAGCAATCAGTTGCTCTTATAGTTTTAAAACCGATTAAGAGCAATCAGTTGTATTTATTGTAGAGAAATACTTCTTAGATGATAGATTAGACTATATTTTAGATAGATTAGACCATCAGTTGCTCTTATTGTATGAAAAGCAATTAAGTACAATCAGTTGCATTTATCATACGAAAAGCGTTTCTTAGACTGTGCTCTTAGTACAGTAACGGTATTTGACAGCGTGAACCGATTGAAATCATATATGACTGTAGACGACCCACGTCATATATATATTTTGTCATGTGTGTTCTAAATGACACCTGCGATTTTTTAATTTAAAATGTTCTCTTTGAAAGTTCCTAGAAAGTTCAATCCAGGATAAACAGGCAAAAAAATGTTTATTCTACAAAATCAAAAACCATATAATGTTAAAACAAATAATAGAAATATTTATTTTTCATAACATAACCAGTCATTTAAACTATTTACTTTGTTCTAGTAATTTAAGGGAAATACATGACAAATAAAATTCATATGGCAATATTTTTTTGGAAATTTTTGCTGATTTCTCGAACATTTTTTGATGATGATAAGATAATAAAAGCCAAAACAAAAATATCATATTTGGGTAAAAAATAGAATAAGTAAAATTGAAGTGAAAACAATAGCAAGCAACGCGTTCAGTTTGAAAGTTTCTTCCATAGCACTGACTACATCGCCAGCTTCAGCTTCAGCTTCGGCATCGCATCACATCGCATCATATCACTTCACCCACGCCACTTGAAAGTGAATCATTTTAGTCATTTGCAAGCGTCATCATGAGCGCTGATAGTTGCATATTTTTCAACAGTTTCCGCCTGCCTTAAATTACAACTTCTACGGATGTTTCCATACGAGTACGTAGGATGAAATGGCACTGTACACTGACTGACTGACTGCAGTGCAGCACAACAAAATAAATACTCTCACTGGTTACCGAGTGGTACGGTATGTAGCTTATTCGGAAAAAACAAAAAATAAGGATGCTGAGTTTATAGTTGTTGGGACTGATGGGTTATGTTGTTGCTGGGACTGATGGGTTATGTTGTTGCCGTTGTTGTCGTTGTTGCTGTTGGTGCTGATGCTGCTGTGTGTTGTAGTGGAAAATGGTTGCAGCAACAATGTGAACAAAATGTGAAATGGAGCAATCGTTTTTTAATTAATATTGAAGGCGGTGAAGGTTTTTCTTCCAGTTTTTTGTTGATATTTTTTTATAGTTTCTTTAAAAGTTTATTTGTTTTTTTTTTATTTTTTTTTTTGTTGTAGTTTTTAATGTGCTATTACATTCTGCCTTTACTTACACAAAGTACGAATTTATTATTTTCTGTTGCTATCTGCCATGTTCAGTGCTCATTTATTATTTGTTTATTTTTATTTACCATTATTTTTTTTTTATTTACTATTATTTTTTTTTTATTTTCTATTATTTTTTTTCTTTATTTCCTTAGAACTTTTTTTAGTTTTTAATTTTCATTCAAAGCGCACACAAATTGGCAAAGAGCCGAAGCAATTATTATTGCAAAAATAATAATGACAATGATGATAAGGAAATGAAGGGCAGATAAATTGTATCATGTAATTTCCTGTAGTAGTCAGTGGGAGAGCATAAATTAACTTGGATAAACTTTAATTCAATGCTTTTTATTATTATTATTTTTTTTTATTTTTATACTTTAACGAGAATAGCACTTATGCGGTAATGTTAAGCGACGTTTATTATCGAAAATTAAAAATATTAATTATAGGAAACTTCAATAAACAAGTGTTAATTACAATATCTACTTTAACTATAATTAAAATTTAATTAGTATAACAGATACTTATTAATTTTTACTAACATTGTAGTAATAATTATTTGATTTATTGTTTTAATTTGAATATACAATAAACTTAGAAGAATTTCGAGATCACTTTTTTATTTATGTTCTAATTAACAAATTAATTACAAAAACAAAACAAAAAATAGTTAGTTGAATTTTTATTTTATTTATTAATAGTTATTAGCTATATCAACATTATAATATAATAATATAAATAAAAAAAAATTTTAATCACACTAAATAAGTGTGGATCCCGCGAGTTCAGCTTATGTTAGAATTCCCAGCGAAATGGCAGACAAATGGGACAGGAAAGAAATAAAATTCTTCTTGTAAGACTAGAATAACTATGACAATAGAAATAGAATTCGATGTAGAGTTGCATTTTTCAACCGGGTACTGTGACCCAAAGATCAGCAGAGATAACTTCCACACCAAGTAGGAAGTTATATCCAAACACATAACTTCAACTGGTACCGACGGAATTCCGTGAACATGCAATGGAGCGTTCATCGGCGCAATATACCGATGCGTGAAGAACGAAGCAATGTTGAGCCTTCACGGCAGATATCCACGTTAAGTTTTGGATCTTCATAGGAACAGGACATTTTTTCTTATTTATTTAGAAAATTGCGGAAAGACAGATAAGGTTATATTGAAACAATTTACTGCAGTTATCGAAATGAAAATCGCTTAAAAGAACTTATAAAATTTGTGAAGAAAAAATGAAACCACAAAACACATCTTTAAAGCATGCCCGATATTACAGTTTAGACAAAAAAATTAGGTAATTGGGCATCGTTTAACGATTGAAAAAAAAAAAGATTTGAAAAAATAGAATCGATGTTCAAAAAAAATTAAATTCAGATAAATACTCTGAATCTATGAAGACGGTAGAAAATATCTCTAGATTGCAGTGTGAAACTCCCCAACTTAATTATAACAATGAATAAAAGAAACAGTAATATGATTGTTAGATTGATAGTACGAAAGTGTTTTTCGTGATTCGATTTAGTTTCTGTGTTATAATTTCGCCGTTGATAGATAAATAACTAACAGGGGCACAATATTTCTTTTACGACATTAAATCGCCTTAGCCAAGTAGTAGATATTTAGTCTATTAAGAGAAGACCGCAACTTTCCTTGATAAGAATTCCTAATATCAGACGACATCTGAAACTCTCATTTCAACAACATTATCTTAACTGAAAGCACAATCAGCTAATCACAAAGAATGTAACTAGAGGTGTTGTATATAAGAACAGCATAAACAAGACTTCCTAATAACAACTGAGAACAACAGTTTCCACTCAACAATCTCCATCTGGCACACATCACAGTTAAGCAGTCGGAAAGAATAAGACTAAGGGTGTCGTATTTAAGAACAACATAAAAAACAGTTACTAATGTTAGAACAGGATAGGAGCTCTCTCCTTAAAACCAACTTCTGGCTCAGACCACAGCTAGCTGTTGCAAAGAATATAACTAGAGATGTACATACATAATGTTTCGATCCGAATAAAAATTTTTAGGTCAGAAATGATGAGAACCATATTTTAAATTTTAAAATAATTGTTTAATATGATATGATATGAAGCTGCTTAATAAATAAATTTGATTGGAAATTTCATTAAAGTATGTTCTGCAATCATCAGTAGTCTCACATTTCATACATTATTTTAATTTATTTTTAAGGTCTGTTTTGACGAAATAAACTAAATTCTTAATAAAAACTATTGTTTTCAGAAGTGAGGTGTTTGAGAAGTGAGAAGTGAAGTGAGAATGAGGTTACCATAGTGAATTGTAACAACAACAATTTTTTATAATTTTTAATTAGTTGAATTTCTGTTTCAAGTATCCAAATATCCGTCATTTGTGGTATTAGAATTTTTTCTTATATTATATTATAATTAAATGTATTATAGTAAGTAATAATATTATTTATAAATAATTTAAGAAATGTTAATAAATATTATTTCTGATTTCTCAAAGTACTTTTTTATTTGTGTATCCACAATTATAGGTTAATAATTTTTATAAATTTTATATAATTAGTAAATTGGTTAAACATATCAAATTATCAGTATCACTTAATATACGTAAAAATGTTACTATATATAATAAGAACTTTACAAACATTAAACATTTAATACAATACTGAGTTTTATCACTTAGCCATGATGGTGTAGTAGTTTTTCTAATGTTAAGTAATTTCTCAATCGGATATAAAACTCAGATTGAATACAGTAAATGATTCACCTTGATCTTTAAAATTTATTGTGATATCTCTGAAAAAAATCTCCTACACAAAATTGAATAAATTACCCAACCAATATTATTTGGCTCATAACTACCCACTTTATTTTTGATTTCATTCAGGTTAATGAGATCCAACTTGAGGCCGTAGACCCAAATCCTGACAATTGTAAGGCATAAGCGGTTGCTTTAAAATGCATTTTACAGAATCTTCAGATATAAGCATTTGTTAGTCCAATCTTTAAAAGATGGTAGTTAACAAGAACGAGTCCGAAAATAAAACAATATTAAAAGTCAATATTTTCCACACAATATTTGGCAATATTCGAAACAGTTGTATTGTCAGCTAAAAATTCAAATAAATAATAAAATTTTGTTGTTGTAATTTACTATTGTTCAAAACACCTTTCTGTTAAAAAAATAATTTCTATTAATAGACATGGTTTCTTTTGTGATAATTGACTTTAAAAATCAAATATAATATTAAAAGTCCTACAGTCTATATTATCAACTCGAATATTTTGATAATACAGATAATTTTTAATATGTGAGGAAACTTAAATACCTTAAAATAATAATGGATCCCAGCACATGAAGAACAGGAAGGTGGTGTAATGGTTAATCGTCTAGTCTAAAGAGGGATAATCTTGTTTTGAATTAATAGTAGTACTAGTATTTTAGTTTTATTTTTATTTTAAATTTTTTGAATTACTAAACAATTTATAACAGTTATATTATATATACAAAACTTACAGCTATGGCATTTTATTCATTTGCCGATACTTAATTAATATCCAGCCTTTATGTGGACTTAAGAAACGTTACTCAATTGAAGGTATCAAGAAATGGGTGTAAGGGAAATGAATGTAAGTGGACAGCTAACATGGACTGACTGATGTCAGCAATACAATTTATCAATATACCAAAGGGCATATCAAAAAAAGTGACTTCTGCTAAAGAAGGTCGGTTTAAGAATTTTAGCTAGTTGATTTACAGATTGCTACAGTCTGAGTAAGTACTCTCAATCGATACTAATGTGATTCAGATATAGTTTTGTTGGTTTTGTTTTTTAATTTGTTCAATGTATAACGTAAATATGTTCAAAAGTGCTATCTGTATAGCTCAGGTCCCATTTTTAGTAAATGACTTTGTTTCTAGCCAACAAAAGCTTCACCAGATTGGTGGCGTTGTTATGCCTTCATATACACTCTGGAACTCAATAATCTGTGAAAAGCCTTCGTAGACATGGTTAATAAACAGAGCTATCTACAATAGCTATCGCTGTGCACCTTGTTTTCTAATAATATTACTAAATAATAGATTGTAGTGCAATAATTTATTTCCTCATTTACTATACATCCTTAGAATACATGTTTTCATGCTATTGTAATCAAAGTAAATTCGTCAACTGATTTTCATTATGCCTATTATTATATTTATTTGAATAGTATGTATAGGTACATATATGCATATGTAAGTATGTGTACGTAAATTAAATTGACAGTAATAATTTAGAGATTTTATAGTATTGAAGGATTGAATACGGCTTATAATTTAATGCGATTATAATTGATTGAGGCAAAGAACTTACCACTACGGGAATGACACAATAGACACAAGGATGCCCAGCAGCAGCAGCAACAGCAGCGGTGGGCAAACTGTAGGCGTTCACACACAAATGATCCGTTTTAAAAATCTTGCTTGGCGGCGGTTGAGCAATAATTGAAGAGGATGATGCCGCCAATGAAGCGGTGGCGCACGTGTACAACAGCGGTTGCTGCTGTTGTTGGTGTTGCTGTTGCTGAATGGTGGTAGTACGTTGTTGTAACGTTGCTGTTGTTGTTGTCGCTCCCGTTGTTGTAACAACAGCTGTTGCTATATATGGTTGACAAATGGTTGTTGATATTGTCGTTACTGGTACGGTTTGTACGGTTGTTATAATTGTTTGAGTTATTATTGCTGTTTTTGTTGTAGTGGTAGTACTGGTGCTTGTGTTGGTATTGGTGGTGGTAATGGCTACTGCTGCTGCTGTTGCTGCTGCTATTTGTGGTGTTGCTCTAGTTGCTGCTGCTGTTGTTGTTGTTGCCGCTGCTGCGGGTGCGGGTACGGGTGCGGCGGATACGGATA